GTGTAGGATGCTTTGGATAAGGTGAAGGTGATTCAGGAGAGGCTTCGTACAGCTCAGTCGAGGCAAAAAAGTTATGCTGATAGGAAGGTTCGAGATGTGTCCTACATGGTTGGCGAGAAGGTTCTGTTGAAGGTTTCTCCCATGAAGGGTGTTATGAGATTTGGGAAGAAAGGGAAACTGAGTCCGCGGTTCATTGGGCCTTTTGAGGTACTTCGGAGGATTGGGGAGGTGGCTTATGAGCTTGCTTTGCCACCCAGCTTGTCGAGTGTGCATCCGGTATTTCATGTTTCTATGCTCCGGAAGTATATTGGGGATTCGTCTCATGTTCTGGATTTCAGCACGGTTCAGTTGGATGATGATTTGACCTATGATGTGGAGACATTAGCTATTTTGGGTCGTTAGGTTCGGAAGTTGAGGTCAAAGGATATAGCTTCGGTGAAGGTGCAGTGGAGAGGTCGGCCCGTGGAGGAGGCTACCTGGGAGACCGAGTGGGAGATGCGGAGCAGATATCCTCACCTGTTTGAGGCTTCAGGTATGTTTCTTGACTCGTTCGAGGACGAACGTTTGTTTAAGTTGGGGAGGATGTGACGACCCGGCCAGTCGTCTCATGAGTTACCGCTCCGTTTCCCCCATTTCTGCTTCTTTATGCTTTGTTTATCCGTGTTTTGTGGTATCGAGTTGGTCGGATCGAATCCGAAATGAATTTGGTAAGGTTTGAGACACTTAGTCTCTTTTGAGGAAGCTTAAGTTGGAAAAGTCAATCGGATGTTGACTTATGTGTTAGAGGTCTCGGATGTGAGTTCCGGTGGTTTGGTTAGCTTCGGGAGGTGATTTGGGACTTAGGAGTGTGATCGGAATGGGTTTTGGAGGTTCAGAGCAGATTTAGGCTTGAATTGGCGAAGTTGATATTTTGGCGATTTCCGGTTGATAGGCGAGATTTTGATATAGGGGTCGAAACGGAAATCCGAGAGTTGCAGTAGTTCCGCTGGGTCTATGTGTGCAAAATTTCAGGTCATTCGGACGTGGTTTGGTTGAGTTTTTGATCAAAAGCGGAATTCGAAAGATTTTAGAAACTTAGGCTTGAATCCGATGTGTATTGGTTGATTTGATGTTGTTTGAGGTGTTTTGAAGATTGGTACAAGTTCAAATAAGGTTTTAGGATATGTTGATTATTTTGGTTGAGGTACCGGGCGCCTCGGGTGAGTTTCGGGTGGTCAATCGGATCATTTTGAAGTTAAGAAAGTTGCAGAAATTGCAGGTTCAGCAGTTACAGGTGTTTACTCTTCGCGTTCGCGAGAGGACCCTCGCGTTCGCGAATAGTCAGTTGAGGGAGGTGGAAATTTAGCCTTCGCGTTCGCGAGGCAGGTTACGCGTTCGCGAAGGGCTGCGAAATTGTGCATCGCGTTCGTGGGGTGTAGTCGCGTTCGCATAGAAGGAATTGAGAGGTTGAGCTTCAGTGGAAATTAACCCATCGCGTTCGCGATGGAAGGATCGCGTTCGCAAAGGTTCGTCTGGGTAAAGCATCGCGTTCGCGTGGGTCGTGTCGCGTTCGCATAAGAGGATTTTGGTCAAAGTTATTTTTTTGCTTTGCGAACGCGAGGCATTGACCGCGTTCGCGAAGAAGGAAATTATGCCTGGGCAGAATGTTTTAAGGGTCGTTTTGTCCGCAAATGTGGGGTTTATTTCTTCCACTGTTGGTCGTTTTTGGAGCTTTTTGAAGGAGATTGAAGAGGGATTCAAGGGGAATCACTTTGAGGTAAGATTCTTGGACAAAAAACTCGATTATTAAGTGAATTTCACCTAGTAAATCATGGAAATTAAGCCAAAAGGTGAAGAACTAGGGCTTGGAAATTTAAACTTTTGATTGAGGATTTGACGGACCATTTGAGGTGGGATTTTTAAACTTCGATATGTATGAACTCGTGGAGAGATGAGGAATCTATTGATGTAAAAATTATTGAATTCCGAGATGTGGGCCCGGGGGTCTGGTTTTGGTAATTTCGGGATTTTTGTCAATTATTGATTGTTTTCGCTTGGGCTTCATTCCCTTAGCATATTTTGACGTTCTCGTTCTGATTTTGGTTAGATTCGACGCGCGTGGAGGCCAATTCGAGGGGCAAAGGCGTCGCGAGCTAGAGATTTGACTGGTTCGAGGTGAGTAATGATTGTAAATGATGTTCTGAGGGTTTGAAACCCCAGATTGCACATCGTAGTGCTATATTAAGGTGAGGCACACGCTTAATGACGAGCGTGGGGTCATGCACTATTGGGGATTGTGACTTGGTCCGTCCCGATTGATGATTTTACCGCGTATTTGACTGAGATCTAATTGATATCATCCTTATTTGGGCTGAACGCCATATTTGGGCTTCGTGCCAACTATTTGAACCCTTCGGGGATTTTTATTGACATTTCCTCGCTATTTTGACTTTATACTTGAACTCAGTCATGCTATTTTCCACTGTTTTTCATACTCAGCCATGTTTACTCAGTTTTAATACTTAAATGATAATTTAAATGATGTTTGGGCTGAGAAACACTGTTTTGCTATTGCCCGAGTGGCTTGTGAGGATTTTTGACTGAGTAAGGCCGAGGGCCTATTTGTGAGGAAACACTAATATTGATTTGAGGCCGAGAGCCTGAGATTGTGTGCCACGAGGTGGCTTGATATTGATATGAGGCCGAGAGCCTGTTTATGATGCCACGAGATGTCTTGTTATTGCGCTTGGACCGTAAGGGGCCCCTCCAGGAGTCTGCACACCCCCAGTGAGCGCGGGTACCCATTGTGATGTGAGATTGAGCCCGAGGGGCTGGTATTGTTCTGAGATGTTGCCCGAGGGACGGTTTTGTTGATACAGTGCCCGAGGAGCGAACCTTTACGTGTTTATTTTCCTTAATGGCTTTTCAATTACATGCTTACTTGTTGAAAAAGGACTTTTACTTATCTCTTAACTAGTTTACTGTTTTAAAATGGTTTTACTGCTTCATTATAGAATGCCTTGTGCCTTACCTGTATTCATGCTTTCAGTCGTTATTTACATTTGTTACTCACTGAGTTGGAGTACTCACTTTACTCCCTGCACCCTGTGTGCAGATTCAGGCGTAGCTGGTTCCGCTCCCGAGTGCTGACTCTTCCAGCTTCAGGCGGACATTCGGCGTACACGAGGTAGCTGGTGGCGTCTGCAGTTCCGTGTTTCTCCTCCTTTATCATTTCTATCTTGTATCAGACAGTTGTGCTAGTTTACAGACTTAGCAGACCTGTGTTATGACTTATAGATGCTCATGACTAGTGACACCCCGGTTAGGGCTATGTTTGGGTTGTACTTCCGTATTGTTATGATATTATCTGCTACTTAGTATTATTAAATCATGTTTTAGACTGTTTTCTTGCCATTTAACTGTTTAACTTCGAATTGGGAATAGTTGGCTGGCCTTGTCTTCACGAGAGGCGCCATCACGATCGGGTCCGGGTTTAGGGTCGTGACAGTTTTGTTGTTACGAAAAATGTATGGTAATAGTGAAAATCTTGCTTTATTCTACATATAGGTACAAAAAATGCTACTCCTTACAAGTTACTTTTAGTTGGAAGTTAACAAAGCATCTATCTTACGATACCCAAGAAGTAGATTTATTATGCATTTATTTTTCAATTCTTTTAGTTTTCTTATTTCGTATTTCATTGTCTAAATTCTCTTCTCTTCTAACTCTCATTACTCTTTAAATCCTCTTCAAATGTGTGAGGTAAATTGATAAAACGTATCTTCTTCTTTTTTTTGAAAAGGTAATAAGTTTGTGAATATTTTCATTGGGTACAAAAGAAACTTTTTATTACAACACGAACAACTAAATGTGAGTCCGTAACAGCTTTTGAAAAGTGTGACTACACAAGCATTTTGGGATTGCAATATGCTTTCGTTTGCTGGTATTTTAAATAAGTACCACGAAATAACTGGTAGTGTACAAAATAAAATAGTTAAGATTTTTATTTTTACTACAGATGATCGAAAAGTTTCACCGGCTATCTTGGAAGGTTCAATCTGCTTTACTATTTTGGGTGTACATGTCTCATAAGTATGAATGAAAAAAGAAAATAAACTTGTAAGTTAGATGGTACTTTTCTATTGTTAGAATTATTAGTGTGGGTTCCTTCTCTTGAAGTAGTATTTTGTTAACTATTTGGGGTTTTCTTTTATTTTGGATATTCTGTTTTGAGAATGGTTCATATACTTTATTTTTAAGTCAATATTAACTGTTTTTGTAAAGTGAATATTAATATTAATGTTGCAGTTATTCATGCATTCAACGTATATTCTATAAAAGCATGATTAGGCTGCAGAACAATGCATTAAAATTAGAAAGCACAATTTTTTATATTTATGTCACAAGGAAGAAATGTGCTCCTACTAAAGATTTTTGGTTGTTAATGAAAAGTTTGTAAACGCATTTATAGAAATTTTATTCTCTCAACATACAACTAACAATCATTTAAATATTTTGTATTTGTGTAATTAGTAGTGTTAAGACGAATTTACGTAATTCTAATTTAAACTTTAGTTCTCATTTTTAATACTCTTTAAACTTTTTGATCAGATGAAACTGAAATGAGTTATATTAATAATATATAGTTAATTATACATCACATATAAATATTCGATATAAAAAAACAAAATTTATATATTAAACCAAATGTAAGTATTTTGTAAGTGTAATATTTCTCATAGTAAAGACGAAACAATATATAATCCGTTATCAGTTGCTAATCTTTTTGTAAGTTTATTGATGTATCTTAAGATTTTGTATAATTTTTTAGACCGCGCGAAGCGCAAATAAATTTACTAGTTTTATATATTTTCGCGACTATTATTTTTACAGTAGTTATACAATTTTTCCGTAGTATTTCATGATTCTCACGAACTTTCTAGAACTTCCGGACCCTGTAAAATGGGCCTGACAGTAAATAAGCCCAAAAAGGAAATCCAATTTAAAAATGTGATTCACGTAATTGCAAACAATTCGCTGCTGCAGCTGTTTCTATTAAGGGTTTACAGTTTCCCTAAACTCTCTGTTTCGCGCAACAAAATACCAAAGGAAGAAAGAATTTTAGGGTTTGTTTCTCAATGGATAGATACCAAAAAGTAGCGAAACCGAAACCAGAAATACCGATAAACGAAAATGAAATCCGAATCACTTCACAGGGACTTGTTAGAAACTACATCAGCTATGCCACTAGTCTTCTTCAGGTATCATCTCACTCTCTTGGCCCTTTATTGTTTTTAATTTTTTGCAGTTTTGACTGTGTTTTTCTGTATACCATAACTGTGCATTTATGGGTTTCCATTGGTGGACAGAATGCAGTTTGCTTTCCCAGTTTTAAATAAATAAAAAAAAGTATTTATCGGTTGGAATAGATACAGAGGATTCGTAGTACTGACCTATTGAGGCATATTTGATTGATTGATTGGATTCATGGGTACTAATTTTTTTTTAATGATAGAGGTACCGAGGGTCTATTGGAAACAACCTCTCTATCTCCACGAGATAGGTGTAATGTGTGCGTATACACTACCCTCCCCAGACCCCACTATGTACGATTATCCTGAGTTTGTTGTTGCAGTTTGTGTTGTTTTTGTTGATAGAGGTACCTGCTAACTCTCACCCGTACAAGTAACTCTGTCAAAAATCATTTAGTGTTTTTTTTTGCCTCCGTTGAGATTTGAACCTTAGACCTCATTGCTCTCCTCCCACTTCTTTGACCACTAGGCTACAACCTTGGGTGATTTGGATTCGTGAGAACTATTTTGCATTATGTTGCGGGTATATTATAAATAAAACCATTGCGGTGTCGTATTGTCATTCCTTGAGGTCTTATTATGGTTGGCTGATTGCTAGGTTTTTTATTTCTCATGTATGCATCCTTGTAACGTGGTCAGTGAGGATTTGTATAGCCAACGCCAACTTGTTTGGGACTGAGGTTCTTTCTATATTTCTGGAGTTTGGATGAACTGGGGAATGATAATGGAACTAATGGTATGACAATGACGTAGTGTGGTTTATGCTTTCTGTTTCTAGGATTATGCTATAAACTACTAACTTGATGGAAATTGGCTGAGCCTCGGAATAGATAACAATTGGTACCGTTCTGATGGTATTATTTGATAAAATGGAGTCCATACTACTCTATATTAATCGCTTTGAATATTAAGCCAGAACTGATTTGTAGGTGAGCTAAATCAATCTGCTTTTTAATGTAACATAAGATAATGTTGATTCCCTGCGGTGCAGTAGATGAATGGTAAAAAGGAGAGAGTTTCTGTATTATTAATATTCTTTGTAGATGCAGATTAGAATACTTGTGGTCTGTTATTGGCTCTGAGAATCTTTCTTGTGTGTATCCTAGCTTGAATTGCTGTTGTTTTTGCCCTAAATTCAAGCAAGAGGTACTTGTAGCTGTATGATTTTCTTCTAATTCATGATCCATCCCTAAGGTTGAGGTCTAAGCTGCTATGCACATTATTTCTTTCTCATGTTTTAGTGGGAGGTCTGATGGAAAATGTAGTTTTTTTTTGTTAGTAGTGGCTAATAGAAATTTCTAATGACTAACTTTTATTCAGGAGAAGCGTGGAAAAGAGATTGTTTTGAAAGCAATGGGTCAGGCAATAAGCAAGACTGTAGCTATTGCAGAGATCATTAAGGTAGCTTGCCTGCTTTGTTTTTTCTTCCAGTGCACTTTCTGTATTGCCATATTCAGATGTAACTCAATGTTTTATTCTCTTTCAGAGAAGAATTCCTCGTCTGCATCAAGACACTGCTATCAGCTCAGTAAGCATCACTGATGTATGGGAACCTATTGAAGAGGGCCTTTTGCCGTAAGTTTCAAGTCTTGCTAGCTTTCTCTAAATTCTTTTGTTTTTCAGTGCATGTTGGTGTAAGGTGTGTAACTGCCTATCATGTGGGATAATACTAAGATTTACCTTCTATTCTCCAATTAAGTGCAAATTGCATAGTTGTGGTTCTGATTCTTGAATGTTGGTTTTCTTTGTAAAAGTGTGGAGCAGACTCGGCATGTCTCAATGATTTCAATCACCTTGTCAACGAAGGAGCTGAACAACAACTCTCCAGGGTAACTGCTATATTCATTTATATTAGGATGTTCTTTCAGATTTTAACATTCTCACTCGAGAACAAGTTTAAGATACTTTATTTGTCATGCAGTATTGTGATCGTTGCTTTATCTTGTTGAGTCTTCCGGCTGAAATTATTTCCTTATAGCCTCATTATTTTCTACATGGTAGCTTGTTTGTTATAACATCTTATGTAAGTTCATGCTCATAGGTATCAAGCACCTTCTGAGACTGAGCAGACTAATTATAACAACTACTACAACAACAACAACAACAACAACTACGCCCCACGGTATAATTACCAGCCTCAACAGCAGCAACCACCACCTAGACAAGCACGAGCAGTCTACAATGCTGGTAATGAAGGTAATGAACTGCAAACAGAATAATTATGGAAAAGTGATTCATGTGAAAGTTTGCTAGATCATCTAATATTACCATAACTCGATTTTAGATTCATATGGTCGAGGACGAGGCCGTGGTAGAGGGAGGGGACGTGGTTGGAGCAGAGGTGGATATCCAAATAATCAAGGCGGATATCCAAATAATCGAGGTGGATATCCAAATAATCAAGGCGGATATCCAAATAATCAAGGTGGACATACAAATTATCAAGATGATTATACAAATTATCAAGGTATTCCTCCTTAGCTGAAGAATTCTATAAGCTTCGTGCTCAACACTTCTTGAATTTTGTTTATACTCAATGTATGCCACATTTTTATTTTGATAGAAAATGGTGGGTACTCAAACTGGGGACGAGGTGGGGGTCGTGGTGGCTGGGGATATCGTGGTAAGTATGCATAGCATGGATACATCGTCTTGTTTTTGTCACCTTACTACCTTGTACCATGTTATATTAATGCATTTGGTGCTGAATATGTGTATGTTGTGCGGTATCAGGCTCTGGTTATGGAAGAGGCAGGGGTGGAGGTGGCAGAGGTTATGGTTATGGTCGTGGCCGTGGACGGATGGTCAACCGTCCAAGGGGTGGTAGCAACCACAACCAGGCATAGTTGTGGTTGGATCTCTAGTTTGCTCTACCTAAAAATGCTTGCCTTGGCATATTTTCTTTCTGTCCAGTCTATATCTAAAAAAGATGAAATTGTGGTTTGTTGCATCGATGAGTTGCGCAGTGATTGTTTTGTTTTTCAGCATCATGTTATGTGGGCTAGGCATATATATCCTCAATGAAGCCAAGTTCAAGTAGTCAATATCTGAAAACTATCCGTTCAATTCACTGGTTACAGATGCTTTGCTGTATTTATTCAGTTAGAACATATTCTTTTGTTTATCTTAAGATGTCCTATCATTTCTTTCTTTTCATATTTGATTTTCTTTTTCTGTTTTGGTAATCTCTTTCTTGAATATTTGGCCTGAGATCTCAAGATGCTGGTTTCCCCAAAGACCATATATCTAATAAGGTTAAATATTTCCTCCTTACAATGTTCTAGTTCATTAGGTTCATTATTCGTTTGTCCTCGATATTATTAATCTTAGATTAACAATATGAACAAAAGAACCCATCATCCATATTTCCCATTTTATTTAAAAATTTGTTTTTCATTCTTAAAAGGGGATTCATTTTTATATAATGAAGTTTTGCGTAAAACCGTGTATTTCAACTTTTTAGATACCTAAATCCTTCTTTTTTAAGGTTTAGGTAATTCCTTGCCAATGTTATTTTGCAACAATGGGAGTCCTTGATATATCAAAAACTCTATAGACTATAGCATCGCAAAGCCTTTTATTTTACTCTTCGGCTTAGGGCAAAAAGTTGACAACTGGGATTGCATATTGGTGGGGTCCATTAGAAATTCTTGACAGATGCAAATACCACATTGTGAAGCTTGAAAAATAAACACGTCGTAATAGCTGTTGGAACTTAGAAAGTGAAGTTAGCTATTCTATTAGTGTTTGCTAAGTAAATAGTACTCCCTCCGGTTCACAATAAGTGTCCAATTTGCTTTTTCATTTTGGTTCAAAATAAGTGTAGTTATTCTATTAAATGTTTAATTAGGGGTAGGTTAGTCATAGTAGGTATTTTTGTATAGAATTTAGTATTTTCTTAATCGGTGTGCTAAAAGCAAATTGGACACTTATTGTGAACCGGAGGGAGTAGTAAAAGATAACAATACAAACCAAGAGAGGGACCATTGTTAACATGCACGGAAACTCAAATCCACTCAATTTGTCCTCACGAATTTATAGAGACCTATGCCTAACTCATAATTACACTAACATTGTACAAAGATAACCGTAGTTTCTGTTAGCAAGAAACAAGGTCAATAAAGACGCCCAAAATTCCTTTATATTTGAAAAAGAAGAAAGTTATCAAAATTCAAAAAGAAAAAAAGAACCAAGAAAGCTGTGGTTGTTTGTACGAGTTAACTTTAACCCTAGACAGATTTCTCGATCATAAAAAGAAACAACCTCCGCTACCCCCCCCCCCCCCCATAATTTTGGGTAAATCGCATAATAGTTGATTGTATTAAATTGTTGGAAAATTTTATTTTGTATCTCATACAACTGACACTAGTTGTATGAGCCATCCTTTTTGTCTCAGAGTTTTGTGGACCCAGATTTTTGTGGACCCAGAAATGTAAGATTGGGGTCCACAAATTTGTGAGACAAAAAAGAGTTTGTCTCACGACAACTAATGTCAGTTGTGTGAGGCACACAATAAAACTTCTCACTGGGTCTTTCAGTTTCAGATATTTCAAAAGTTTAATTCACGTGAAGTATCGGGTGACCTAATGAGCTCCCAAGGAGAAGCTTTCGGCAGTACAGTCAGTTTTCAGCATGACAAACTATACATGCACTGTTCATCATACGTCCACAAGCATAAAGCAAAATGTCTCACCCAAAAAAAAAGATAAGAATTACAAGGAACGGGCAGGCTACTGCTAGAAAAATTAAGAATTTTAGTTCAATAACCGGCATGATAAGAAAAAAGACCCCCAACTAATGACATTTGAAGCCATGACATATTGAAAGAACTATGACCAGAATCAAGGCAATAATGATAGCCAGGACTATAAGCTTTACTTTCATGTTCTGCAACCACATCTTCCTCCTGACTTTTGTTCCTTGTGTCTTGAAATCTTGTGCCTGCGATATAATACTCTTTCAGAAACCCCTATAATTTTTGTTCAAATGACAGCAAACGAGTAAACAATAACACAAAGCATATACAAGTCCGATGACAAACTGGGAAAAAAGATACAACTTAAGGTGTTATGATGCACCAAAGATTCAGGGGTTCCAAATTTGGACATGCAGGAGCAGAATAACTCATGTACCTACGATTTGCTACTAAATTACACTTTAGACAAAGTGATTATTAGCAATACATAAAAATGGTAGAACAACGAAAATGATTGCTCAACAGTGGATATCAAAAGCTACCAACTCAGGAATCATAGCTGCATCGTTACATATCAAATTCAGTAAGGAACTGGATATATCTGGACCACTTCAAAATTTACTAAACCAGCTGGCATTTTGATTAAAAATAAAAAAGTATGATAGCAGCTCGTATTCATATAAACTGGCAATAGAGCTTTGTCATCAACACTTCAAGACTAGCAATTTTTAGAATTAGGATATAGAATAGTCTTATCCACCAAAAGACACAAAGAATTCCATTGGATTCAAACCTGTGAGCGAAGATTCTCAGTCTTATCCACCAGAAGTTCAATTTTCTCCCCACGGTCCAGGACCTGCAAGGCCACAATTTTCATCAACAAACAGCAATACAGCTTCTTGAACTCTCACTTCTTTCTAGTTCCACATCAGGACATAAGGTCTTTTAAAAACAATATAATACAGAGGACTATTCTCTACCTTCTCAATGTTTTCCATCATCACACCTTTAACTTCTGAAACCTGGGCCTTCACCTTCGCAAGCTTACTGATTTCCTCTGGATGATCAATACAGTATTGCATCTGCTCCTTCATTTTGGGCCTGTAGTTATTATGGTGTTATGACATTTGCTTTTATACTTAAAAAAGGAGGGAACTAGAGAATGGGAAATACCCAAACTCCCTGTTCAAGCTGTTAGCAACAGCTGTAGCAGCTTTGCCTCCACCATATTTCTTGGTGAAATCATCCTTCACTCTCTCCAGAAATGCAATTGGGACCTGTCTGCCAACAGATTCCACAGCTACAACACAGTATGCTGGTTGTACAAAATAAAGCTCATCAGCGTGACAATTGTCAAAAAACAAACAACAGCATGACAATGGTGCATTGCATATCAGATTGTCATGTAGCCATCATCATTTTAAGTAATGAGGTAAATGCACACCAGTATCTTAAAAAAAAAAATACTTTAAGAGAAACCTTCAAGAAATTAGTCTCATACTTTCACAAAGTTGCATCAGAATTTTTTATTTATATCCTCTTTTTTATAAGTAGAATTTTTTCCTTATATCGCCGTTCAATAGTACATATATCGATATGATAGCCAGATCGATGAAAATTCTCCAGATACTAGTGAAACAATAATCTGTCCAAATAACTTCTTTTTCATATCCATCCAGATTTTGAAAAAGTAAAACATCAGATTCTGTATAGTATGTTGAGATACATACTATTTAGCCTCCATAACAATCGATAATCCAACAAGCTAAATTTGTGTGTGTTATGCAAGATTTGCTTTTGTCACCCTCCGTGACTCACTTGAAGGAAGAGCACAAATTAGACAAGCAATAAAGCCTGGGTGCCTTCTCATAATTTTGAAATTAACTGGTGCTAACTGCTAAGTATCAGTTCACATTTCGAACAATTCTTGAAATGCGCACTCCGAACAATTATCTCATCTTAATGATGAAAGTAGATAAAGTCACGCATTAGATATTAACAAAATGACTCAAATGTTTTGTCGTCTATGCTAGCTAAACAGTATACTCAATGGCAAATATCTGAAGATTCTAATAAAGGAGACCAAAATGACTGGTCCAAATTAATGAAAAGTAAGTGAATAGAAATATATATTTTTAGCCGCTCTAAAAAATAATAGCCGATGAAATGTAGTATATATTTTTGTATATATGTGTATTGTATACATATAATATACATATTGTATACACTTTTTGGCTAGCGAACGGCCAATTTTGTATTTTGCCTAAAAGTGAATTCAAGCAAAAATTTCATATGCTTATCATGGCGATCAGCTTCCCTGTTTGCAAAAAGTTTATGAAATGAAAGAGATCCAAACCGAAATTCTGCATTATCTCAAACTCAAACCCACAAATTCATCATCTTTCGATATTTGACTAAGATCTAGAGGCTACTTATCCTAAACCAAAAACAGTCAACAGGAAAGTGAAAACCACTTGTTTTATTTGAAAATGAAACTGATCATTATAAAATAGTCATCGGATCAAAGAAGCAGAGAATCATAGATTACGGATCAGTAATCACACACACAAAAACAAACACATAAACATATACATATAGACTCACTGAATCATAGATAACGGATTAGTCAAACCATTTGACTGACAGATCAAAACACACACACATACACAGAGAGAGAAGGAAAAAAACTCACTGAAGCCGTTATCAACGAGGTAGTTGAAAGTGTGGCCATCACAATTGTAAGTGAACTTGTTATTTGAAGCAGGAAGTTTCTGGAGGCACTGCGATGCTATACTTGTGAAATTCCCAGTGAACTCTGTATACTCAGCCAAAATCACCGTTCCTCTCGCAACGAAACTGTAGATCAACGATTGTTGCCCCATAACAAAAACCCTAGCTATTCGAATTGAACAGAGCAAAAACTGAAAAATTTAGAGAGAGAGAGAGAGAGAGAGAGAGAGAGAGAGAGAGTGAAGATGCGGGGACGATAAATTTGAGTTTGCGCAGACCCACACACAAATCGTGGAAATTTGTACAGCTATTCACAATATTCTTTTTCTTTCTTGTTAAGATTGCTTTGTGGGCTTAATTTGGGGTTTATTAGTTGTTAAACTAACTTACTTACCCTTGTTTGCCCATGGGAAATAACGGATGTGAGACCCACAATAATACTTCGATGCTTTTTAAATTTTATTTCTCTTTGTAAGTGGACGTTTGGACATAAGAATTGTGAAAAAATTAAAGTTAAATTGTATTTAAAACTTAGAATTGTGTTTGGACGTGAATACAATTTGGATTTGTTTTTGAATTTTTGTGAGTTGGAGTTATTCAAATTTTTTAAAAAGTCTGAAATTCAACTTCAAAGTGAAATTTGAAAGTTTCATGGCCAAACACTGATTCCGAAAAAAGCGAATTTTTTCCCCAAAAAGGTGAAAAAATTCTTATGGCCAAATGGGCCCTA